GTGAATTGTGATTAGCCTTTGCTTTTGTTGGTCAACAATGCCTAAAGCCAAAATCTTTTTTCTGCCACCCCCAATAGTTTGTCTTGAAGCCTCAAAAAAGCGCCACGTACTGGAAAACTGCACATGCCCACTGCTCGTTGTTGTTGTTTGTTTTTTCACCTTTACATGTTCGTTCACTCATCCACACACAGTGCCCACACAAGATATTTATCCCAACCAAACACGTCTTTTAATGCCTACTTATTTACCACAAATTCAGAGACAAAAAAAAAAACACACACACACTGTGTAAGAAATGGATGTGAGTTCTCATTCAGTTTCCTCATATGGCAAGACCAATTCTTTTGCCAATGGGACATTTTCCTCTACTAAATCAGCTGTTTTGGCCCGTAAAAACGGTAACTTTACGGGGTATAACTGTCTGCCGAGAAAATCGAAATGTAGATTGACGAACTTTGGAGCCATTAATGGTTATTATGAAAGTTCGTCTGCTGATGCTGATGGGTCTGTTAGATGGCTTCTTCAACCCACGGGTAATCATCTTTTATCTTTTTTGTATGAATATAAATGTTTGGTCTGATAGGACATGAGTTCATAATGCTATCTGTGTTGTCATTTCTTCTACTTGCTAGGTGATGGTGACTCGAGGCACATAGGTTATAAGGTCGACATACCCGAGCTGTTTGAAATTTTTTCCGTAAGTCGTGTTCGGATTTTTTTTCGATCCTTAGTTCTTATTTTCGAGCATAAGGCGTATTTTTTTTCTGACTGAGGTTGGCTTCTGCATTTGCTCAGAATGTTGTCACTGTCGGGCGCGATCGTGAGAAAGCCGATATAGTTATTCCAGTGCCGACAGGTACTAAGATATGTATACATTGTTCTTACTTAAATACATGGAAACTGAATATAAAAAATTTCAAAAAATAGCGATTCGAACCGCACTAACGGTACATTTTTTTGGTAAATTTACATTTTATTTGGTTAAAATTTATGTAGTCTCTGCTTTGCACGCCCGGATTCAGAGGACAGAGGAGAATCTGTTGATTACCGATTTGAACAGCACTAACGGTACATTCATAGACGAAAGACGCCTACAGCCTGGAGTTGTTGCCTCAGCAGTCCCTGGAAATCTCATCACATTTGGTAAGATTTTATTCTAGTATTTTTTTGTTATTATTATTTTTGTTTGTCAGACTACATTTGGTATATATACTATGTAATTCTAACATATGATCTAATATATGTTTGTTTTTCTTTTGGTATCTTACAGGTGACACCAATCTAGCTATATTCAAAGTATATAAGCTCGAGCAAGAGGATCGGCTTAGTGTTGAACTCGTGACATCTGAACCTTAACCATCAAAAGATCGATGAAGCAATGAACCGATTAAGGTTCACAAAAAATATACAACTTCATCGAACATAGTTGTGGTTCGAGGTTTTGCTGTTGTTGCATTGTAGGCTATGTATGTTGTATTAGGATGAAAAGTTTGTGTTGAGCTATTACTATGGTGAGGGTACTGCTTTGGCTTTTTTTAGCAGAGCACGTCGACCCGGTTCTTTCGTGTAAGTCGCCTGCGGGAACGTTCAAGTGGCACACATCTGTATCAGTTTATTTCAACTGGGATTTTTAATTCATTTCAAATTTGAGTTTTTGAACAAGGTGCTCATATTAGATCGAATTATAAGCATGAATTTTGTTTTGATAAAACAGTAGAATAATAAGGAGAGATAATTACGGATTGGTATATATTGGAATAGATTTTACACTTATATCATTGTAATACACATTTCTAGTAATATGAATTAACTTAACCACTTTTGCTTTACAACCCTAAGTATAAATATAGTTATCTCGGGTTTAATGTACCTAGTTTTCCTNNNNTTTTTTTTTGCTTTTGTTTCTTGAATCTTATCCACATCTCTCTCGAAATCTCTTCACAATTTTGTTCAATGAAATCGTTGTTCAATTTATCTAATATGGTTTCATTCGTCGAGTTCATCTCGATCTCCTTTTCTGCTGAATACTTGTTTTTCATTTGATTTTCTTTTCAATTTAGATATTGATTGCGGTTTTTTTATCCGATCTCAATCTCCGTACCGATCAAATTGATGTTACCAGCTACAGAGAATCGGTTGGTATACTTTTATATCTAACAACCACTAGATCTAGCGTTGCATATAGTTAGGGCTGCAAATGAACCGAATCAAGCTCGAGCTTAAGGTGTTCGAGCTCGAGCCAGCCGAACCTGTCAGTATGTGCCTAACCCAAAATAGGTTCATTTGGATATTGCACACAGAGCTCTCAATTATTTAAAAACTATCCCTGGACAATGTGGACTCTATACCTCAAGTTTACTCAAAGGCTATAGTGTCAGTGATTGGGCTCCATGATTTGCATATTTCTCACTCTTATCCTGTTTTACTTTTGTTCGACAATAAATTTACCATTTCTCTTGCTAAGAATCTAGTCGCCAATGAGATGACCAAACACATCGAGATCGACAATCACCTAATTAAAGAAAAGTTAACTAAAAGAATCACCAATCTTCAACATGTTGCCTTACAAGAACAAATGGTTGATATACTCACAAAGTCCTAAGTCCACATTATTTCAGTAGCTGCCTTTCTATGATGAACATGATTAACATTCATGTTCATCTTGCGGGAGGATATTAAAATATATATTAATTCAACTTATTCTAGAGAATAAAAAAATCAGAATTAACAAACTTTCAAAAGTAAATCACACTCAAAAGGTCATAGTAATAATACTCAGAATGGCTGAACATACCACACCTAGCTAACATATATAAATGAAGGAAATTATGAAAACTAAAGATATCATCATCATGAGTATATGAAAAATTAGAAAAATTAAACATTAAATAGATCAAAAGAAATATATGATAACAAGAGCTGCAAATCCAATGAGTGACTTAAAGTTGCAGCCCAAATTGCTTGAGCCTCCATTTTGTCCATCTCCAGGAGATGGGCTTGCTGCTGCTACTGGCCCACCACCTACAACATGTGATTAACAACAAATTCTAAGTACAACCAATTATGGTGTCAATTAATGTTGTTTTTATTGCAACATGCAATTACATTTTTAATATGCAATTAAATTCTAGTGCTTCTTTTATTAGTGAAGTTTCTAGAAAAAAAAATATATCAAACGACGCAATGCACCTTGGGTCGCTGCGGAAACAGCCTCCTTGTATAATTACAAGGGTAAGGTCTGCGTACAACTGACCCCCAGACCCCAACTAGTTGGGAACATACTGAATATGTTGTTATTGTTGTATGCAATTACATAATAATGTAGATATTAGACTATGCATTGGTGGCATAATTAAGAACATACCTGCTGAAGGGGCTTCACTTGATGCAAGGGCTCCTACAAATACCAAGATTATTTTTAATGTTTTGATTGCATGTATATTATCAATTTTCACAAGACCTTTTCAAACGAAAAAAGAATTTAGATGTCTTTAAGAGTCATTTTTTTTTTTAGTCATATATAAATATATAAACTCATATTATAACATATAGTTAGCAATGTATAAATCCAATGTAACACAAAATAGTTCAAATTAATTAAAGCATTATTATTTGACTTGCATCGTTTTAAACAGAAAACGATAAAATTTAAACGGATGTATATTCTAATAGAATTATTCCAACGGCAATTCCAATGGATATTTCAATGCTATTATTTCTTTTGGAATTTTTCAATGGATTCCAACGGAAATTCCAACAAAAATATTCCGTTCGAATGAGTTTTCCAGTTGAATTTTCATTAGATTCTGACGATTCCAACGGTAGTGGAAACAAAAATCTCAACGAATTTTATTGCATATTCCAATGGAAATTCATACGGTGAAAAGATGTTGGAAATATAGCCGCTGGAATCATCAAATTCTATCTAAAATTCTAATGAGAAATACATCCCAACGAAATATTTTCGTTGGAATTTTCATTGGAATCATTTTAACGGAAGCTATACTATTAGAATATCTGTTGGAATTTCCATTAGAATATACTACCATAGAATTTTCCGTTGGAATCTAACGGAAACTATATCATTGAAATATATAAAATTCTTTATTCTACATCAACACTAGTCAATAATTAAAATTGATTATAGAAATTCTTGAAAAATAAACAAATGATTTTTTTTTTTTAATTGAATAAATTTCTCTGGGGCCATCCCCTTTAAGTTTAAACAATGTTTGAAAAAGAAAAAGGTGAAAAATTAATGGTGGCATAATTATGAACATACCATATGAAGGGGCCTCACTTGGTGCAAGAGCTCCTACAGGAACAC